ATGGACAGGCTTTTAATGGGACTAATCAATTTGTTGGTTGGTTTGATCCTAATAACTCTAAGATAGACATGGTTTAACTTACATTTTTTGCTTGTATCTAATATTTATATTTATGCTTGGAGAGCCTCAAAAAATCTTACACACGTGCAAAATTTGGGCTCGAGTGGACCCCTACTCAACACAAAAAAAAAAAAAATCCTAACAGACAATACTGGCCATTCATTTATGTCTCCTTTAATCTGGGCCATCCGGGCTACACTATCCTGTAGGCCTGTTGGCTCACAAGACCTTCTCGTGTGTGTGACATATGAAGATTTCATTGGCCAGCTTGCCTAATGCGACAACATAGGCCAAAAGATGCATATTGGCCGATTTGAACGGCGCACATTCACCTACGGGGCGGGGGCTATTTCATCTTTTTCTTTTGTCTTCTTTTTAAGTGCATGATTTGGTTTTGATTTTTTTGGTGCTGCTAGATCATTACGTCTCTTCAAAACAATCTAGCCCAAACGGACTTATAGGACAAAAAAATTACCATATTTGCCATTAGATATGCTCAAATTAAATTTGGGTCATTTCGCTAGTATTGCAGCACTATTCGATTAGCTCATAAAACCAGCTCATATTGGGATGGAAGAGGGGCATGATAAGAAAAAATAAAAATCCGAATAAATACTGATTTGTTTCATGTGGAAGGCTCTAAAAAGACAAAAGAATGACCCAAAAGTAAGGACACCAACAAGTCGGGTACAAGTCAGGTCTGGCTAGACCCGGTCTCGGACCCGAATAGTATACGAGTCCAGGTTTTGGACTAATTAAAAAATTGGACACATACCATGAGCTTCGTTTTTTTTTACCATCATATACTCATATTATTGGCAACAATGTCACAATCACTTACCGTTAGATTTCACGCCACATGATTTGTCGTTTCATAGCTAAATATGACTATGAGTTTTTATTGTATATAATTCTTAATACACCCTAATGATTAGAGCTTAAAGCAAAGTATTTTTTCTCCAACAGTTATAGGTACGGGTCGGGTCCAAATTGACCCAAACCCGAAGAATATTCCCATCTAAAAATTGGACCCATACCCAGACCCGGGGTCGGGTCGTGAGTCTGCCACCCTTACCCGAAAGAACATCCCAAGAGTCCATGTTTTCAAACTCCTCTCTCATCACAACATACATAAAAGGAAAGGGAACATAGATGGAATGAAAAAAGAAGCACATTTATGTTAAAAATAAAAGGAATGGAAGGATGGCGTGGGTGAAATGACCGTATTGCCCCTCATTGACCTGCTTTGGTTGCCATGTTCCACGGCCATGACCCACACCCATTGCTTGTGTCACAAAGGGTTACATAGTCGATATCGGGTTCGAGGGTTTTAATGAAGGGAAAAGGAAGGGAAAGTCAAAGAAAGAAATATACATAGAGTCTATTATTTGTGGGTTGCGGTCCCACTACAAAGCTGGAAAGCCTGTAAATTTGTGGCCTCCTCCTTATACACGACTGGGTGTATTTCAACCAAGGAAAACATGGGCCAGCCACTCTCATTACTAACAAGCCCCACCTTTATTGTTCTTCCTATTTCACTTTGGGCCTTCTCCCTATTCTTGCTCGCCTTTAAAATACAATCAATTCAATAGGATTTTACCGCTTCTTTTGTGTTCCTTTTGGTTCGGTATTTTTCTCTTTCCCAATGTTGGATGGAGAGTAAGAGCTAGGAAAATTCGGAGCAGGTACCCACTCATACGGTGCATGCTGGTGTCAACCGGTTTGGTTTATTTGGGGTTGGTTTCACTACCGATCAAATTAGTTGGACCAAATTTTTTTGTTTTTTTATATTAAAAAGATATTAGAATAATAATTTAAAAATATGAAATATATTGTAAAAATGAATCTTCGACCTTGTTTAACCGGTTCATCTAATAAAAAATGATCAATCAAACTAGGCGATTAAACAAGGGGTTCAAGTAGTTTTCTACTAAATAAGTTTTTACTATAGACCACGGACAACCAAGGCGCCTATTGGTAGTCCGATTGGTTGGACCAAGCTATCCAATCCAGTCTTGTTTAACTGTGGTAAAAGTAAGACACTTGGTTTTTTTTACTCTTAAGTAGGTACATAAGATCACACCCCAATGTTACTAAAAAAAAAAATGTTGCTTTTTTCTTTTTCCTCGAGGTCTACTGGATCTATTGGGAAATAGCCAACCATTTGACTTATGGATGGTTTAAATGCCGGATTTAACTTTTTAATAACCATCTAGGTGAGCCTGGGTTACCAAACACTCGTACTCCCTCGCCGACGGCTTAAGGGTTGGGTGGTCCATTGAGTAAATATGAAAATATAGGGCTTCAATGCCATTTATATTAAGGATTTAAAGCTATTTATGGAGTTTCCAATAGCTCTAAATTAATGAGGTAAAATGAAAAATAAATAACCCAACTATCAACTTTGTTACATGGTCATCTTTCCACTTTATCAAGCAAGTTCTGGGGTCTCATATTGATAGCTACACTAGTTGTGTGGGTTTTTTTTTTTTTTTGGCAATTTAATGAGGAAATTTTTTTTTTTTTTTGGTAATCCTGTGAGGAAGACGGGCCCTTTTCTGTTTTTTCAAGTAGAATAGAAGTTAGTCTTTTTTTTTCTTTTTTTTTTTTTTTTTTAAAGGTTGTTAGTGATGGGAATGAAAACCATAGTGTGATGACTAAGGTATCGGGAAACGCTATCACCACAACTTCAACCCCTTTCCTCTATACTAGTGCAACAAATATGGCGCTACACATGTCTTGCGGCACTAGAGCTCTTATGTGACATGTTAATGTGAATAAAGAGAAAGGTGGTACCTAGTTTTACGGCCAGACATTTATTGGTACTATTGTATGCATCTCCAAGAGAGTGTCTCCCTTTGCTAAACGGTTCCTTATGTCATAATATTCTGCCTAAATTCGAAAAAAACCCAAGCATTTATATTGAGAAATAACTAAGTCCCTCTTGTTTTTAATGGAAATTCTACAATTTACCAAAAAATAAGGGAAATTTTCAGAATATACAATTAATTTGAACTATTTAACACTATACCCTAGGTGTATTTTGATAAATTTCAAAAACCTTGGGTCATTTTATAGGCTATTAGAAATTTGATTAAAATAATGGTGGGCTATCAAAATATCAAGTAAGATGCTAAAGAGTTCAAATCTTAAACGTAGTCTAAAAACCTTCACTTAAAAAAAAAAAACACTTTTGAAATGCAAAAGCAGAAATTGACAATTTATTTATAAGAAAATATACATAGGATAATCAATAGAGAATAGAAATATACATAAGAAAAATATACTTACCCAAAAAAAAAAAAAATATTTGAGTCGTAAATATTATTTGCAATGTGGCCTTATTGTGAATCTTTTTATTTCATTCCAGTCCTCATCTCACCATATATACCATTTCCTGATCAAGGTCAATTGAGCATTTTTATTGTCGATACATTGAGAAATGACAACAAATAGCATAGTGAGAAACAAAAGGAAAATTATTTCATACGGGCTGGACCTCATTGCTACAATATGTAGTCTATAGGTATAAAGCATCCATTTTAAAGATGGATGCAAGTAGGCGGTCCATCTAAAAACAAGTGTAACTAACTGTCCAAATGTTTTTTTTTATATAATTATTATCTACAGTTTTCATTTTTTTTTTCTCTTCATATTCATGATCTCCATGTTAAAGATTATATATTTTCTAAAAATTAAGATCAAATTATATTTAAAAAATATATTTATTGTCAAGCCTGTATTTCTATAATATGCGGGCTGGCCGCATAAAAACCCTGTCCGAAACAAAATTACTATTAACAGAGAGAGCAACTAACTAAAAAACTATACAAGGAACTTTCTTGGAGAGAGTGATGACCTCTAACCCTTACTCGGTGAACCCCACCTGATTTTATTTGGCGAAACCCTAAAAAAAAAAAAAAAGAAGTCGAGAAAATACTCCCCATCTTGCTATAAAACGGATGAAAAAATGTCCGTACATACATAAATTCCTCTTAAAGATACAATAGGAGGGAAAATCTTTTTCCTCTTTGTTTATTAAAAAAAAAGAAAAAAGATAGGGGGGCAATGGTTAAAGGGGTGAAGCTGGCAAACAGGGATGGTCTTTAAGAAGGTGACCCCAGTGTCCTTTCAAAAAACAACGTAATCAGCTCTCAAGTCACTGTCCAAGAGCACAATAAAACCGTTGCCACCTCAATCTCTTACTACCCAGCACATGACCCATTTACCCCACTCCCATAAGAAATAAATACCATGTCAAAAATATCACAAACTATACCAATTTTACTAAGTAAGAACACCTTGTAACTTTTTGAGCTTTGATAAATTTCTATACATAGATTGCTTGTTCCATAAATTTGGTTAACTATGGTATACCCACTCAAAAAAATAAAAAAAGTAACCCAACTCTCATTTTCAGGTAAATAGGGGTTATTCTCTAGCCCAACAAACAAAATGGGGACCAGGGGTATTTTAATAATAAAAAATGTAAAGCCACAATGTACAACTCATCGAAAATTGCAATTCAAGCATTAAAAAAAGTTTGGATCGATTGTCATGGCTGGAACATTGTGGTTGTGAAAAAATAAAATAAATTACAATTCAAGCATTAGAAAAAGTTTGGATCGATCATCTTGGCTGGAACGTTGTGGTTGTGAAAAAAAGAAAAAAAAAAGAAGGGTTTCAACCTCTAAAAATATAGTTATTCTAGCAAATTATTTCGATCGTCCATTTAGCCTTAAAAATAAGTGTTCATAGATCCGTAAGATTTGTACCATTTTTTTAGTTTCAAAATTCATTACCGACGCTAGAAATTGATTTTGGAGACACCGTAGTGTTTTATGTTGCCTAAAGTGTTTTTTTGAAGGAGGATTTGAGGTGAGGCTTTATTTTGTTTTCATGAAGCCCAGGCCTTATAGAAACCTCGTGCTTTAGTGCAGGGGCTTCTTATGTTAAAATTCAATAACTTTTTTCTGCGCCATTGTAGCTGACCTCTTCCCTACCCTACTATTTATTTGGATTTTCTCTCCAATTTCTCCCTGTTTCTTGTGCCTCAGAATTCTCTGCCTGAAATCCTAACAACCTGCAATCTCTCTCTCTCTCTCTCTCTACCAATTGGAATTGGTGTTTATCTTCTGAAACCTCTTCACTTCTTAGGCCTGACAGTGTAACTCCCCTCAGTGATGCCATTGTTTTGGCCATAACAGTAAAAGGGCTCAGAGACTGTTCAAGCTTCTATGGGTCGGTCTCCTTGCTGTGAAAAAGTGGGACTGAAGAAAGGGCCATGGACTCCTGAGGAAGACCAGAAGCTCTTGGCTTACATAGAGGAGCATGGCCATGGAAGCTGGAGAGCCTTGCCTGTAAAAGCTGGTAATTCTTGTTTGATCTCGCGTCGAAATTCTCTGGAATTCTGAGAGGTGGGTCTCCTTTTGGTGATGGTTGGTGCTCTGGTTTTTTGGTTGCAGGGCTTCTTAGGTGTGGGAAGAGTTGTAGACTGAGGTGGACTAACTATTTGAGACCTGATATTAAGAGAGGGAAGTTCAGTTTACAGGAAGAGCAGACAATTATTCAACTTCATGCTTTGCTTGGGAACAGGTTTATTTCTGTCTACATTTCAGAGCATTTCTTAAGTTAACTTTGAAATTCTCTTCCTTAATTTCGAGCTCATCTGACTTAATTTTGAATCAACTGCTCTCCTTTTAGATTTTTATGCTATAGTAACTGATTTTATTCGAGTAATAGCGTGTGATATCACTCCATGGCTCTCCAGTTTCACACCTTGTGAACAATAATACTTTCAAGAATTCTGCTTGTTTCCTATGAATTCATCCCATTTTCTCATGTGGACCGCGTCTGTGTTCTTCGCTCTCTGGTTCTCTCATCAATTTTTATATATTTGGCTTTGGCAGGTGGTCGGCAATCGCGACTCATTTGCCTCGAAGAACCGATAATGAGATCAAGAATTACTGGAACACCCACCTGAAGAAGAGGCTCGCGAAGATGGGCATCGACCCGGTCACCCACAAGCCCAAGACCGACGCCCTCTGCTTGGTCGACGGGCAGAGCAAGAACGCTGCCACCCTCTCCCACATGGCTCAGTGGGAGAGTGCAAGGCTCGAAGCGGAGGCCCGGCTCGTCCGAGAATCAAAGCTTCGCTCCGCCTCCACTAATCATAGCAATAGTAATAACAACAAGAATAATTACAGTAAGCTCCTCCAACCGCCGCTCAGCTTTTCTGCCACTCAAATTCAACAGCAGCAACCGAAAGATTGCTCGGGTCTGCCGCTCTGCCTGGATGTTCTCAAAGTGTGGCAGGGTGGCTGGCAAAACAAGATCATGAGGTGCAACGGCCAAGATTTGGCCATGCTCGAGTCACCGACTTCCACTCTCAGCTTCGGTGGTGACAACAACAGCTCGTTGCCGAATCCGGCTGCTGTGGGATTTGGAGGGGAGAATCCGGCAGCCGGTAACGAGTTCGTGGAGAATCAGATGATGCTGGGGCCATCGGATGAGAAAGAGGAGTACTTGCCATCTCTGTGTGATCAGGACGAGGGGCTCAAATGCGGCGGCGTTTACTCCTTCCTCCAACAAGCATTGCGAAGGTCGTCTTCTCAAAATTTTCCCCTAACAGCAAACGAAGAAGAAGAGAAGGAGGAGGTGACCAGGAAGCTCGCCGGAAACAGGCTTGAAAAAGTGGACGGCCTCTTCACAAGCCTGCAAGACATGGTTTTCCCAGCAGATAATTCTGGCGACTTCAAGGCCGGGTCGGGCTTTAACATGGAGGGCTTCATGAGTGGCGACCTCCTCGTCGTGTTGGCCGACGCCCACAGTGAGCCTGAAAACAGGCTGCAGAGCTCCAACGACCAAATTTCCGGCGAAAACGCCCGAGCCAACACCACTGAAGAGGACCACAAGAGCTATTGGAACAATATCTTTAACCTGGTGAATTCTCCACCAGCTGCCTCCCCCATATTCTGATATTTTCGACCCAAAAAGCAGGCCGAAAAGTACCAGGAATAAAGGGTACAAGTATCGATCCAGGGTGATGTTATCATAGAGAAGTTGAAGTAAAAAAACGACAATTACAGTTGAGATGGGTTAGAGATGTTAGTGATTAGGAGGAGGTTCTATTAACAGGGGGTGGGGTGGGGTGATCTGTTTGTTCATGTTCTTCTTTTGTTGTTTTGATTGGGTAGTACTACTCTTCTCTGCGACAACAACCGCAAGTGTAAGAAAAAGCAGGGTTGATTTAATAAGAATGAGTGCCCAACGTTACGGCGCACTTGCAGTGATACTTTAGGCCATTATTATCATATATGTTAATTCCTTCCATCCATTAAATCCAACCCCACATTTACTCCAACACTTTTAAACCTCTTCTTCCTTGGTAGTGTTTCTGCACCAGTAACATGCTACCATCTCTCTCTCTTCAAAAAAACAATAAAATAAAAGTTTACATCAGTTTGCAGCTAGAATTTTATATTGTAGACAGAGGGAGTAGGGAGGGGAATATATATATATATATATATATGAGAAAACATCTTTTCAATCCACGGCTCATTGCTACCGTCTCAATCAATGGTTCAGATTTAAACTAGATCCGACCCAATGGTTACAACTTCATTTCGTATTTGAATTTATTTTTTTAAAAAAAATTCCAAATCACTTAAAATTTTGAACGTTTATTTTTGAAAATAGAAGAATATAATAAAAATATAAAAAAATAATTCACAAAATATAAATCGATCAAAATGCTTTCGAAATTTTTCGTAGTTTTTTGGTAAATTTATATTTTATAAATTATTTTTATTTTTATTTTTATTAGATCACCTTGATATGAAGAATGAAATCTTAAAATTTTAAGTGATTTGAATTTGTAGAAAAAAATAAAAATTTAAATATAAAATAAAATCATCATCGTTAGATCGACCCAGATTGAATTTGCTCGACATTATCGATTCGAGAGGGTATTGAACATTGTTTACAAGTAGAATTCCATACGAGAGAGAGAGAGAGAGGGTAGGAGGAAGCAAGGAAAGGAGGGGGTAAAGAAAAAGGTTTAACTTTAGTTTACATTTACAACTATAATTTGGGATAAGATTGAGAGGGGAGAGAGACACGTTGTTTTTAGTCACTATCGTCGTACTTAAGAGAGGGGGGAAATATGCGTTTTAAATGCATATCGGAGGACCCTTCATCTTCCACATTGAAGCCTCGACTTGACACTCAAATTACTAATGACCAAACAACCTTCTCCATTTTTTCAATGTCAAATTCCTCCTCTCCCCTTAATGCCAAAAATGAAAGTGGCATGGGAAATAGGCTGCTTAAAGAAAAAACTTATCATAATAAAATTTGCCGATTTGGATTGGAATTGTTCAGTAGATATTATAGGTCCCTCCATGTTGAATCCTTTAAATTTATTCATAAAAATATCTTCATATATTCCATTTTGAGGTTTTATTTATCAATAAATCCAATGTTTTAAAATATTTTTTGACGGCATAGCGATCTCATATAGTATATCTTCTAATCTTTTTAATCAACTTTACATGTTTTTATTGCCTCTTTTTAGCCGGACAAAAAGTAAGAAATACCCCAATGCCTAACATCTCTTTATAACAATTTTCTCTCTCTTTCTAAAAAAAATGTTGACAGATAGAGAGGTTTTGGGGAGAAACACAATGAGAGAGAGAAACTCGTTATAGAGATGAAAATATAAAAATATAGGTTTAAAAAAGACGAGACATAGGTGTCTGTTTTATTTTTGTTTGAGTTAAAAAATGGTGGTAAGAAGGGATAACGGTGGTCCAAAGAGTTAGAAAATATATTATGTGAGATATTTACACCACTATAAATGTTTTCAAGCCCTGTGTCTATTGGGAAATAGAATATGAAAATATTATATACAATGATATTTTCTTTTTCTTTCTAATTATTTTGAATGGTTTTTTACTTTGAGGCATCTATGCAATGGGTAGAACCCTAGGTCGGTTGGGAAATGGAACCCCAAAATAAGGTGGAAAAATACATTTTTCCTTTCTTTTTAATTATTTTGACAAGTTTTTCACTTGTGAGGCAAATCCTGACCCATACAATGGGTGGGTTTTTGAGTGGGTAATTTAAAACCCAATTCAAATTTTAAGGCACTAGCGAGTTCCGACGATTTTCTTTTGTCTTGTTGGTACTAAGTTAAAATTAGTAACTACAGATAAAGGGTTTATGATGTCACTCATCATTGTTACAAGGAGATCACAATCACTCTTTTCCATTAGATATAAAATTGGATGGTTGAAGGTGTGTTACGAAATTTTATCATATTTCTTTTATTTTTTGAAATTTGAATCTAATCAATATCCTACTTACAACCACCCACCTTTAAATATAACAAACACTAATTATTGTGACGTACTTATACTAAAAGCCAACTGTCTCTTTGTATACTTTGCTTATAAGAAAAAGTATGCTTTTTAACTTTTTCAAAAGGAAAAATTACTTATATACCCTGAACAATGTAATGCTTTATATATCCCTTTTGATTTAATTTCAAAATACCGATAAAAATTACATGGTATTGAATTGGAATAATTGCAAATGAGCTATACTAAACAGTCCATCTGTTATAAGTATTTTGATCAATTTTTCTTTATAAAATGAGACGTCCTTGTTTAAAATCTCCATTGCCTTCCTTTTCAGTCTAGATGAGTTTATCTTTACTTTTTGCATTGATCCTTTGTTAGATAGTTTCTTGTAATTGGCAAGAATTATTCTAGCTTTGGAAAGATATTAGAAAATTCGAATCTCGATATAAAAAAAATAGCCAAAATAATAGATAAAATAAATTTGCAAACTTGAAACACTGCTAAGAGGAAGTTTGAATTATGATCCCGACTCCCTCGATAATTTCAATTATTTCTATTATTTGATGATGGATATCTTAAATGAGTTTTTAAAATGCATCAAATAAAGTGTTAATGACAACTTAACTAGTATTTGAAAGGGACCATCCATGTCATTGTAAGCTTTGCTAAGAATATTAGTAAGTGCTTATTGTAGGGTCCTTGTAAACGTATTGCTCATGAATTATGAATCTGAAACAATGAGGTCCCACTTAAGATTGTGTACATAGTTGGCTAGATATAAAATAAATAAATATAACTATAAATCAAATGTAAAAAACAAAGCAATACTAAAATCACACCGCAACGACAAACAATTTGCGTAGTTCACCCTGTAGGGCTACATCCATGACCTTGGCAAGTAGAAATCGACTACCTTAATGAATATTAATAAAAAAACTTCCCCGGTCTTTCATTTCAAACTTGCTCTCATGACCTAACAAAACTCTTAATCAACAACTTCTTTCCCACCACAACACTGATATCATAAAGTTAATTTGAGAGCAATTGAGAGACTTTCTCTCTCGAGAAGTGGAAGTTTAACTAACCAAAACTTCACATAAAATTCTGCCTCTCTCTAATAAGCTTTATATCTCTCTCTCTGTCTTGAAGATCGATTTCCTTCTTGAAGGTCCCTTCTCATGACCCTCAAGGGAGGCGACCCTTAAAGATGATGAATATTATGTTTATTTAACCCACTTTTATATAGATCGCTAGGGCTTCTTTCTTGCTTCCCAATAAAATCTTTTTTTCTTTTTATCATAATATCCTCAATCTTTTATAGAAAACGTAGTTGTGATGATTTTGACCATCACCAAACTTAATAATATCCATTTTGATAGAAAAATCACCATAATTGCCTTGTCGAATTTTATTGAATAGATTTATTGATTTCTCATATCTTGCCTATTGTGGATTCTTTACAAACATTTTGCCTCCATTCCACCTCAAACCATGAATTCATCTAACTCCATCATTCATCTTTATTTCATTGGAAATAAAAGCAATAGCCTTGCACATACCTTATGCTCTAATACCAATTTTAGGATTTTCAGAAACTACTCGTTTGCGGAATTAATAATCCCAAACACTAGGATCCCACCCAATATCGTTACACAGTTAACTAGATGCCAAATAAATGAATACAAATCGAGTTCAACAAACAAAGCAAAACTAAAGCCATACCACAATGATATATAATTACGTGGTTCACCATGTAGGGCTACGTCCATAATCTCGACAAGTAAAACTTAACAATCTCAATGAATATTAAAGTTTTGGATTACAATAAATGTACTTTTCTCTAAACATTGGTAGAAAACTTTATTGTCCTGTCTGCTAAACTTACTCTCTTGACTGAATAACATCATCAATCAACATCTTATTTCCAACTGCAACCCCGCTACTGGAAAGATAAAATTGAGAGTAACTAAAAGACTTTATCTCTCTAGAAGTTAAAACTTTACCAACCCAAATCCCCATGGGAAAACTGCTTGAGATGTCGTGTCTCTCTCTTGGAGACCCATCTCCTTGGAGATCCCTTTCCATAACACCTAGAGAGGTGATCATTTAAAATGATGAGCATTATGTTTTTCTTGACCCCCTGCCACTAGTGCTTCTTTCTTGCTCTTCAAAAAGTTCATTTGTTTTTACCATAATACTCTTAATCTTTTATTGTGTGTTTTGAGAGATTTTTTTATCCAAAACTAAAAATTCTGGAGCAATTGCCAAATAAATTCTATGTTGATGGAGGACCTTGCATACCCAAAAAAATAATAAAAAATAAATGGAGGACTCGTGTCATGCTCAGTAGTTGTGACTTGTAGCTACGAATTCATTCATCACATAAATAGGAATATATGTACCATATTTCAAAAAGTAGGTGCTCTTGACGCTCACATCAACGGCAACAGCAACGCAACGGCAACAGCAACAGCAACAGCAACGGCAAGTCGACTCAGACCACGCACAAGTGCAGACCAAGAGGCACGTCAGTTGGGCCTCAAACTTGAGAGGACAAGATGAAGGTACTCAATTCCACCGATCACTGCCTTTGCCACTTAAGATCGGAACATGGTCAGGTAAGACCAACCTCAACGTTCACCATATGGAGTGAAAGATAAATAGTAATGCTGTCCATACCATCATTTCAAAGTAATAAGTGATGTTCTTGTCGCCCAAAGGCCATAAAGCTAACATCCATCTCATCTTGTCCCCTCTTAAAAATAAAAAAAAAAGGAAAAAAAAACGTTTAATTGTAAAAAAGTAATGCATCTTATAATAAATTATTGATATCATTTTTTTTTTTTTAAATATTTATAAATATGCTTGATTTGTCACCTTTTTTTAATTTTAAATAATAGGAAAAGTTTATATATAGCCTAAGCTCTAAA